ATTTAGAAATGAGGCTGAACATCGCAGCTGTGTTAAAATTACACTCAATTTCCGCGGACCATACATAAAATGCTTAGGTACAGTCTTTGCTTTGTATGTATTATTCAACAAAGAGCGTTTGAACTTAGATAGGGTATCAAGTGTACGGATAGAATTATCAAGTTTGTTCCATTCTCTGATGGACGAGGGAATAAATGCAGAATTTGTTAAGGAGAGTCGACAAAAGGGGGCTATTAAATAAAGGCAACAGTAGTATACCGCTGTTCGAAATTCATAAATCGATTGAGAAAAATACAAATCCGGGTTACAAACTAAAACTGAGGGAAACACATCAAATATAAGAGGAGAACTACGACACAACAGAAACACAACATTAAATGTAACACACACAGAAACGAACTATAATATAACAATGGCCATTTTCATGACTTGGTACAGGACATTTTAAGAAAAAAGTGGTGGGTTGAACCTGGTTTTGTGGCTAGTCAAACCTCCCGCTTTTATGGCAATGTTAAATATAACATTAAAATGACAACATTACATGACAGGACCACAATACAAATAAATGGGAGAACATATAGGACAGAGAAACATACCAATAATAGCTAACAAAAGGTACCAGGTTTAAAATTTAATACACAAGACGCGCGCTTTGTCCACACAAGACTAATCAGTGACGTTCAGACCAAAAAGTTCGAAAGCCAAAACAAATACAAAGTTTAAGAGTACTGAGGACCAAAAGTTCCAAACAGTTGTGCCAAATACGGCTAAGGATATATGTCTGGGATAAGAAAATCCTTAGTATTTAGAATAATTCAAACTTTTGCAAACAGTAAGTTAATAAAAATGACTATATAATAGATATACATGATAACACCAAAGTGGTGACTAACTACAGAATAAAAACGGATACATAAAACAACATAAACCAGCACGAAAAAATTCACAGCCGAGTTAGCCAAAGAGATCAACGCAAAAAAGTGACGTCACATTTGAATTTCTGAAATTTCCATTAAGTCATTGCCATTACGCAGTTGATAAACAGTTGTACTTTGTATAGTTGGGGAAATAAATCACATAAATATTGAGCGAGACCATTGTACATCTTATAAAATAGTTGCAGTTTTCTTCTGTGCCTCCTACTGTGTAGGGGTTCCCAGCCAGTCTCTAAATATAAATATTCGGTTTTAGTAAAGATTGGTAGTCCTGTTACAATCCTCGCAGCTAGCAGCTGAAGTTTATCTAATTTGTTTGAATAGCAAATACCACAATTGTTCCACACTTCGCAAGCATACTCAAATATAGGACGAATATATACCAGATATATTTTTTCTAAGTTTTGTCTTTTCATCTTAAATTTTAATTTTCTTAAGACTCCTAAATGCTTTGTGATATTTTTGGAAATATTTTCTACGTGCTCATTCCACTTTGCGTCCTGGGATAGAGTTACACCTAAGTGTCTATGACTTGATGTGTTAGATATTGATCTTCCATTGAGAGAAAAACCTAAATTACCTGGAATCTTAGTATTTGAGCAAATCATTATTTCCGTTTTATCTGGTTTAAAAGACATTAACCAATTTTTGGACCAATCATTGAGTTTGTTTAAATCATGATTAACTACTACCTCTAAGTCGTAATGCTTGCGGTGGAATATCCCAGCGACGTATCATCAGCAAAATGTCTAGTCAGTGAAATTAAATTTTCGCCAATATCATTTATATACAGCAAAAATTAAAGGGGGCCGAGAACAAAGAACAAAATACTAATCGTCTGACAATCACTTAACCTCCAATGCGAACATATATATTATCAAGCATAAAATCTAATGGTTTTAATCTTTTCTTTGTATGACCAATGATTGTATAGTTTATAAGCTTAAGGAATTGAAACGGATACAATAGATACAGTTACACCAAATTGAGAACAGGAGGCATTCTGATTTATATATAAGTGTATGCTAATAGACCAAATGCATGGGTTCATGTCATAAATAGACAAGAAAATTCAAACCAAATTGTCAACTGATCCTCATAGAACCTAGACAATCTTACAATTAAAACAAATCGCAACACTACAGAAACAGCTATTAACAAAAATTTGGTAGCACAATTTGATACCGAGTTCATTAACGGTTGTAATGCATAAGAACAAAAATATCTAACTGAATAAATAATATTTTTTCCATATCAATTAAACGTATATATAAGAATGGTTTTCTAAGGTGTTTTATTTAATTTTAGAAGCTATTACCTATTGGAAACATAGGAATCTTCAACAGCAGCTCCCATTTCTGTTCTTATTGGGACTTATCATCAATAATATCATATAACGTTTGATTGTTCCTCACTCTGCACTTCTAGAACATGTTTTTATTAAGCAATATCTTCCTAAAATGGGAATCTTAATTTGTTTATAAACACTCAGCAGCAGATTCGATTAAGATATCATAAAATACCAGAAATTTTGATTGATAAAATCTTTTTGAATAACATCACAGTCTGAACCAAGAATATCACCAACATTAGATATTTGTGTATATGTCAAATAAAGGACCAAAGGAACATCACCGTCAATAAAGTACTACTAGGGGGAATTTAACGACATTGACTACCCATCAGGGTCTCGCACGGTCGGCCCTGGCTTACGCCTTTGCCCCTTTATTACGAACACGTTGTCATTGCCCGTGACAGTAGTGATGTTGTAGATTTTTATGAACGTAACCTATGTATAATTGTAAATAATTAAGTCAGGGAATTGGTTTAATACGAATAACGTAAAAACTTTACTTAATTATTTCAAAGATACAATTTGGTTTTTGAAGTTTGGCTGTGTCTGAAGAATTTTTGAATATTTCAGCGTCCTACTTTTTCAGTGGTAATTACTTTAGCATTTTAAACAACATTTATAAGTTTCTAATCACCGTCCTTCGTTTCTCTGTTCCCCCTTACAATTATAATATTTCACTGATAATAAAGGCTGAAGTATAGATACGAAGCCTTTGTCAAGATACCTTTACGGACAATGAGCTGAAAAGCAACACAGAAACTCTCAATATACATTTTAAAGGATTTAACTTTGATTATCATGACCAGTTGTTAACACTTCTTCTTATCATGTGCGGTTCGATTGCTCTCGATTTTTTCATAAAAAAACCATGCTTTTAATTTAGCTAGCTATAAAACCAGGTTTAATCCACCATTTTCTTCATAAGGAAATGCCTGTACCAAGTCAGCAAAATGACAGTTGTTTTCCATTCATTGGATGTGATTGAGCTTTTGATTTTGCCATTTGATAAGGGACTTTCCGTTTTGAATTTTCCTTTGAGTTCGATATTTTTGTTATTTTACTTTTTGGTACTAGGCACGTTTCGTCTACACATTAGTGTCATTAGAATCAAAACAGACGGAAGGACGAATCAAATACGCAGTTGTAGATCAGTAAAAACCGAAAATTCCAAAAGTTGTGCAAAATCCAGCTAAGGTAATCGATTCCCTGCAGGGGGAGAGTGGTTGTTGTTGAAAAACGTTTTTCGAATAATTCAATATTTATAAACAGTAAATTGCATGTCCAAACAAAAGTGTTGACTACTGAGCTGGTGATAACCTCGTGGACGAAACGTCCACCAGCAATGACAAGTGGACAAATGTTGTATAAACTAAACGATGTCAGGCTTATAATTTGGTATGCCTAACGCGTTTCGTCTACATTGGAGGTGTTCGAATAAAAACAATTGGAAGGCCTATTTAAAGTTGAAGAGTATTAAAAAGAATTCTGGACATAGTAATGATGTCAAATTAGTGTGTCGCTGTTTAATTTTGAAATTGGTTCAGGTAGCTTCATCCAAAAAATTACAATACTTGACGACACGCAGAAAGAATACAGTTTTCAGATAAAAGAAAAGAACGCCAAAGAAAATGTAATTTTCATCAGGAAACTAGAAAAAAAAAGAGATAATAATACTGGATCTAGTTCAGTTTTTATTTTGAAAATATTTTATGTGCAAATACTGTTTTTTACTGGACGCAATTGTAGAAATGTAGTTACGAGTAGTTATGCCATTTCTCCGCTCAAGATATCAAAGTTTTACGTTTCAATCACACAATGCAAGCGACCATGTAAATATCTAAAATTTAACTGACGAGATTTCAGGAATATTGTAACTAAAGAGCAAGCAAGAGGATAATTTGTTTCTCATACATGTATGTATTTCAGTCTTTTCAGTGAAAAAAAAAACGTAAGAGAATTGAACTAAAACAATTGCGCTGTTGCAAACGAAGCTACAAATAACGTTACGACATAAGCTACCAATTACAAAACTATTATTAATTAACATTGTATCATGTGTGTTGTTTTCTACTATTTATCATTGTGTCATATTTGTAATGTATGTTTTGATTGCTATAGCATGTATATGTATTTTTGCAAATAAACTAATTCAATTTAATTCAAAACCTAAAATTACAGATTTATTATTATTTTATCCAACTTGCTGAGCGATGTACAAAAGCGCTAACCAATGGAAGTATGTACATTTGTATCAAAGTTGAATTTGTTTTATTTTCAGCTATTGTATTAACATCATGTTTAAGTTGTTTTCATGATAATACTTAGCATCATCTATAAAGCTGTTATATGCATAGTTTCCACTAACCACCATAGCTTTCAAGGATGAAATGCCAACAGTTTTATGTGCAATTGCATTATGTACTGATTTTTTGTAGGCTTTTGAAAATATAATCTTTCTTCCTTAAAATATCAAATTTATTTCTTAGATTTGCAGTACAATTTAAATTTTCAAATTACCCAGTTTATCCAATAGTTAAACAACCGTGTATTTAACTTTGATACTTTAATATAAACAAAACCGTCCCTTTATCTCCTGGTATTTTAATTTGTCTGTTGTTCTGCAGGATATATAATAAACTAATAATATACTAAAGAGCACTATAATTTTGCAATATTTGATATGTTTTGAGTAAACAAAATAAGTATATTACCTGTTCTCATTTTACTTTCACCAGGTATATCACCTTTCCAAAGAACAAAGGCAATCTGTATGTAGGCAAATCCAATAAAAATCATTGGTAAGAAATACAATAGGACAATTAAGGCAACCTGATAAAATGTCTGTTTGTCTTGGTCCCATCCTGGACGACATGATATCAACAATGAAGACACAAAATCAGGTACCAAACTATCCAGTTGCATGAATAAAATGTCTGGAAGTGCCAAACAACCGGACACCAACCATATCACAATGATCATAATCCTTGCCCTCTTTCGTGTACTTTTAAACGCCAATGGACGGCAGATAGCATACCATCGTTCTACAGCAATGGCGGCCAAAGTCAATACTGAGACAGATATTGATACAGTCTGAAAGTAGAAACAGAAAACAATACTGCAATATGTTCATTAAAAAGTATAGTAGAAAGAAGAAAAAAGAGGAAACAATATTAAAATACTGGTAAATATCCTATAACATATGTTGTTTATCTTGTTATCAAGTGCAAACTATGGTGTTCTGAAATATTTGTAGTTTGTACTGAAAAACACTGTTGAATATTATTCGCATTTTCAGTGTACTGTGACAGTAGATAGATAATTTACATTAATACATTTTTATAAAATATAAACATACGAAACAGTTACATAACACGCTATACAAAAACAAAAGTGAACAATCGTAATGTCTTTAAAACTATTTCTCGTTTTAGCTCAACTTAAATGCTTATATTTCTTTTTCGATGACTTCATTAATCTCATTTCCGATGGACACCTGTGAACAATGTAAACATTCATAGCTACAACTCTTAAAAAAATAAAATATACAGTAGACATAATTTGCATGTTTCAGTAAATTAAAATGCATGTTTAAAATATTTAGTTGAAAAACATTTTAAATTATAAGTATATACATAATATATATTTCACGTGTTTTCATAAGTTTTCAAACTCAGAACTTAAAGTATTATGTTCTTTTCTGATCAATCTCGAGTTCTAAGTTTCTAATAATGTATGATATAGATTCCAGTGAACATACGTGACACGTTTCTAGACTAAACATCTGTATGCTCGTTTTGCAACAATGCAAACGTATAGACAAATAAAAATAGGCAAACACATTCAAAACAAAAAGGTCTACACACAGTGAAGCTAATTTAATTCACTTGTCCTGTTGATTAATGGCTTTTGGTTTTGTCAATTTTTATGGACTTCCCCTTTTTGAATTTGCGTTGGAGTTCGGTATTGTTGTTATACTTTTTAAGCTAAGATCTAGTTTGCTTGAGGTAGAGCAAACTTAGTTTGAATACCAAAGTCAGAAGTTTTTAATATCATTGTCATAAATGAAATTGTTTTCTTAGTTTTGTTTTGCTACTACAGAAAATCAAAGTCAAACAATATAATGAAAACTTGTGACAATATTTATTATGTGGACATTTATATACAAAATATCTCGTCCAGAATTGACCTAAAACTGTTCCGTTCTATTTTCTTAATTCAGATTACCAATATGCAAAATGCACCTTAGTATTATGAAAAAAACCTGTAAACTTTATAGCTGTATTTTTACACAATTTTAAATTAACCATCTGCTTTATATGAGTGTTTGTTGGTCTAATAAGGGTTTTTGTAAATGTGGATAATTATTTTTCCACTTTTACCATTTTGTATATGTAAAAAAATCTTATATCGAGTGCGTTTCTTTTATGTAAACTGTTCACTATTATAACCACAGGAAGAAACTAGTCAATATTAATGCCTCCATAATTGACATCATTTCATTACAGGTTGTGATCAAATCATAATATTCTGAGTTTAAGTTAAGTCCCAAGTATACTTTTAAAATTACCATAATGGAGAGATTGTTAATTATTGTTCATTAGCCAATGACTACATTTCTGAATGAAATTGCCTCAGTAAACGATATTTGCTGTAATAGCTTTTATTGTTCTTTCTCATGTTGTCGATATGATAGGAAGTTAACTTGAAAACATTAAGGAGTTCATCATTTGTTTCAACTTCCTACTATGCATTTAAATAAGTAGTAATTACCTTTTGTCCTTCTTAACCTTTGTGTTATTTTGTGATATTTGATGCAAATGCAAAATAAAACGCACACCTTAAATAATCCGTCTTAAATCATAAATACATGTATGATTCATACTTGTGTTTCAAAACGGTCATCTAAGAAAACTAGTTTAAATTTAAAATAATTGTCAAAATAACTTATGGGGGATGGGGGTCTTAATTAAAATCCATAGATTTTTTTAATAATTTGTCAAAATGTAGTTTTTATCATGCTTTATTCCAAAATATAATAAAAAGTATGGGTCACCGGACATTTGTTCACGCTACAGGTTGAGCAAAATTGTAAGATTTTGTATAGATTATGCATGGAAAATCCAGTTTTGAGTGATAAAAAGAAAACTCCACCATAGAATTTTAAGATAAAATGTGAGAAGATAGCTCTTATAACATGCTTTCATATAAGAAAAAGGAAAAATGGGGTCACCGGACTGGTTTTCTTGCTACATATTAAAATAGGTAAATTCACAACACTAATCAAACACAAATATTGTGTTTTTTTAGAAAATACAGCCGTAAATATGATAAAACACATAATTTTCTAAATTAACATGAAAAGTTTTACACATGAATTACATACTACTCTCAAAATTTGCACATTTCATTAAAGATCTAGACCGATTGTTATCTGCTACTTCAAAATCCAAGATGGAGGAAGCCACCCCAGCCACTTTAAAATCAATATTAATCAAATAAATATTCGCTTATTTTACTTTAATATATGAGTAAAGGTGTCAGCACCAGTCATATACTAATGAAAATTGTCCATAAAACAAAACAATTGCGAAATGTTTTTACAAAATTGTGAATAAATTCGACGCAGACGACCGCAGATACTTAAAACATAAAATTCGTTAATGGTATCTTTTCATCTTTGTAACATCAAAATTTTATATGTTTTCATAAAGTCTACACACAGTGAAGCTAATTTAATTCACCTGTCCTGTTGATTAATGGCTTTTGGTTTTGTCAATTTTTATGGACTTCCCCTTTTTGAATTTGCGTTGGAGTTCGGTATTGTTGTTTTACTTTTTAAGCTAAGATCTAGTTTGCTTGAGTAGAGCAAACTTAGTTTGAATACCAAAGTCAGAAGTTTTAAATATCATTGTCATAAATGAAATTGTTTTCTTAGTTTTGTTTTGCTACTACAGAAAATCAAAGTCAAACAATATAATGAAAACTTGTGACAATTTTTATTATGTGGACATTTATAATATAAAATATCTCGTCCAGAATTGAAACAAAACTGTTCCGTTTTATTTTCTTAATTCAGATTACCAATATGCAAAATGCATCTTCTAGTATTAGTATTATAAAAAAACTGTAAACTTTATAGCTGTATTTTTACACAATTTTAAATTCACCATCTGCTTTACATGAGTGTTTGTTGGTCTAATAAGGGTTTTTGTAAATGTTGGATAATTATTTTTCCACTTTTACCATTTTGTATATGCAAAAATCTTATATCGAGTGCGTTTCTTTTATGTTAACTGTTCAGCATTATAACCACAGGAAGAAACTAGTCAATACTAATGCCTCCATAATTGACATCATTTCATTACAGGTTGTGATCAACTCATAATTTTCTGAGTTTAAGTTAAGTCCCAAGTATACTTTTAGAATTTACCATAATGGAGAGATTGTTTATTATTGTTCATTAGCCAATGACTGCATTACTAAATGAGATTGCCTCAGTAAACGATATTTGCTGTAATAGCTTTTATTGTTCTTTCTCATGTTGTCTATATGATAGGAAGTTAACTATGAAAACATTAAGGAGTTCATCATTTGTTTCCTTTGCTTTAACTTCCTACTATGCATTTAAATCAGCAGTAATTACCTTTTGTCCTTCTTAACCTTTGTTTTATATTGTGATATGTGATGCAAATGCAAAATAAAACGCACACCTGTTCTTAAAAAAAAAATATAAAGTGTTTACAACTGTAATTGAACTGCAAGATTAGTCTTCATTTGCGTCCGTTTTTTTACTGTAGTATTCAATCAGTATTCCCTCTATGTGTTTAAATCACGCCGAATATTGAACAATATTGTTTTAAATTTCAAATGACATGTTGTACCTTTAGAACTTAAAAAGCATAAGAATCATCCGTCAGATGCGCATTGTTTAATGTTCAAGTTCCTAAATACTATTTGGCATGGATTATTTTTTAAAGGAAAACATGTACCAGTTCCAATAACCATTTTTTTTCATATACTGCTTTGTTGGTAGCAAATATTTATATTTTTAAAATTCAACGAAACCGAAGACTTATTGTGTTTGTTTCGTTTCCTTTTCTTATTAATATTTTTATTAACCCTTAAAATGTTCGACCATTTTCTTGGGTCCAGCAAAGGATGAAAACTTTGTATTTGGTACAACTTCGAGGGTCGGGGTAAGGGGTTGTAATTTCTGTATTTTTATAAGACAGCAAATGAATAAGAAAAAGTGTTTGTTTTATACAAAACACCCATGCCTAGTTGTTCATGCTAATCTTTTTTTTTCTTAAACAGAGAGGATAAATGGAGAAGATTTAAATTTTGTTTAAAATCTTGAAAACGATAAGTAATATATATAATTTGTTATTTTACTTGAAATATTAGTATTATATTCTACTTTTTCCAATTATTTTCTATGACAATAGGTACATTCATACCTACACAGTTTGAGGGGCTCTAAAATGGATTCGCTATACTTTACGTTAATGAATTATTTATTCCTTTTATACGCTTCTTAAATCGTGCACCAGTAGTAATGTTTTAAAAAAGGATCATACTTTCGTACAAATTGAGTTCAAAAATGACGTAAATGGTTATTATAAAGAAAGATTTGTTATTCGAAAACAAAATGATCCAATTGAATCACATACTGGCTTAAATGGCAAACTCAATGACAAACGATATACTGACAGGAGTAAATGGAACTCCATCGTGTAGACAATTAAAATCAAAGGTGAATAAATGTCAGTTTATATATACTTATTTATCTAGAAGTATCGAGATTATTATTTCAAGGCAATATGTCTGATAAATGTCAGAATGTTTTGTTCAAACATTATATGAAGTGATAGTTAGTTTGCTTCACATGAGGTTAGGCTACGCGATTCAAAACAGTAAACCGACAAATATGCCATTGGAGCAGCACAATTTGACATTATCAGGACAAGTATAACTTAACAGACTAGATCGCCAAATCTAACATTTTATTTGTCTGTCTTGTTTTGTCCCAAGGACGTTTTGGATTCTCTGTCTATGAATTTATTTTTGTCAGAGTTACTTCTATATTCTTA